AGGGTTTTTTGGGAGTTTTTTCTCCTGTCAGGTAATAAATGAACAACTTAATGTAAGGCAGCCGACTGAGGCAAATGTCTTGAGAATTGAACCACAAGAACTGTCCTAGATCTATGATGAAGTGTGATGAACGGTGATCATTAATGATGGGTTGTTGTAATGAAGGTGTACTAGTTATAAGATGAAGACTTAAACGATGTATGCTTTGTTATATTCACTCATTGAGGCATAAAGCCAAGTGTATCTACATTGAGTGCATTGGAATGTGAGGGACAGATAGGACAGAGAGGTTTCAAGTTACAGCTGCAGCTTCACACCTCGACGTGGAAAGGGACAATGGAGGAGGTGACCCTTTGGAGAAGAGGCCAATGACATTCAAATGCAACAAAGAAGACACACCTCAAGAGTTTTCAAAGGACCATGGCGGGGAAAGACTGTTAGAACTTCTCCTGCAGCCGCGTTGATAAGTCACTTCAGACTTGCTCAGAGGATTCTCTATTTCGCGAAATATTCCACTGTTAGTATACTGTTAGTACACGCTTAGTATTTCACTTTGTAATTGTAATCCCTATTACGTTGTTCAGTTATTAAATAACTTTTGATTTTTGAATTTAAACGAATTGACTCATTCGTGTCCTCGTTTCCGGCCGGGACTAGAACAAAGGATTGAGTCCTCCCTCGAGAGCCTTCCGAAACCTTAACACCACCGACTGAGGTATTATCACAGGTATAAATTACCTGTGATGTAAAAAGAGTCTTCCTTACTGAACTACACCATAAGATCCATATGTTTATGTTCAGGTGACACTTAGAGATACGGTCAAGTGGGTCGGATGGGTCAACAAATGCATCAGCGTTTTCGTTTCCTATTGACTATTCGTGTTGGTTGCCCTTATCCAAGTGGTTATTATTGTAACAGTGACAGAGCAGTCAGTCCAATCCAAAGCGGTATATTTCTCTCAAGATAACCAGGTTGTTTTCTGTGCCTAAATATAATTACATCATAAAGGAAAAGAGTGAAGCCTGAAAAAGCATCTGCAGAATATCAGAGCAGTTTTCATTGTTTTGACGTAAGAGATGAGGAACTTAATTGTGATTGCTCAACGAGTTAAGAAGCAGATCTCACAACGGAGAGTCTATTGTTCAGTGAAGGATTTTGGAAGTGCGTTGTAACATTTTGAGGCTACGTTGCGAGTGAAAGTGTTACCGTTATCAAACGAGGCCTTAGAAAGTGTTCATTTCGCTGTGCGTATTTGCACATAGCATCCAGTCCCTCCTCCTGAGGTAGACCTTCACGATTGTGTGTGGCCGCATACAGAAGGACGGGACGAACTGAACAGTAGTTTGTTCTTTGTGATGAAAGGGGCCGAGAAAGAGAGCAGCAAAATAAAACAAATCAAAAGATGGAGAAAGCTGAAAGACTGGGATACAAAGTCAGAAAGAGGGAGGGGAGAAGGTCAAGAATGCAGATCGTGTCTTACAGACTATTCCCTGCAACGCCGGGATGTCTGAGCCGCTGCCAACAGCCCTTTGAGGAACGTGTTGATGTATTGGGCGTCTGCTGGTTGTCCTGAAAAGAAAACCCTTCTTTGTGTACAGTAGATGTCCATTCTTCTACCAAAGTGCATCAGAGTGCTCCAGAGTAACTTACATGCTGGTGTCTGTCTGTACATCAGTAAATAGATGCAGGTGCGCATCACATCTGCAATATTGCAGATGTGAAAACTTAAATCTATATGGTTTATATCGTCTGTGCCTTCTCAAAATACATTACACCAAAAACAAAACTTTTCCTCATTGCACTTGTGAGAAACGAACAGCATCCACAGCATGGATTAAAACCAGAAAGGAATTCAGTTATTTCAACATGACGTATGATATTCGAGGCGGCCATGTGTCAGTCATGACTCCCAGGAAGGTCAGATCTCCTTGACAAGGTCATTGTTGGGTCATCCCCTGAGGACCATGAATGGAACTACCAAACTTTAGTGGAAATATATCCAGTTGTTGAGGTATTTCAGTCTAGATCAACCAAAAACCCAAATAACCTTAATAAATAGTCTGCTAACAACGTTTGGGCATCTTGAGTATTGCTCGAGGCTCACCAACCCTCTACGGACGGGGAAAGGATTACATAAAGTAATGAACAAGAAGTTTGATCTTTTCATCTCCGCATGGTGCTGATTCCTGGATCCACGGCGTTCGGCGGACGCCACCTGTCCAAACAGAGTTGGCACATTGCGATGGGTGTGGACACGTTCTCACAGGCACATGTTGAAGTGAGCCCACTGTTTTGATACCATGTCACATGTGCTGGACGGAGACAAAAATATTACATAAAAGCCTTTGTACAGCGTGGGAAGACCTGGTTGCACTGCAGCTGTGGAGGAAGTATTTATCCTAGAAAAAGGCTCTCTCCATCTTCGACTAGGTCGCTCCGATCTAACTGACTACAGCTAGCGGCGGTTTCAGGGGTTGCGTTCGCTGAGTTAAAATATTTTATTGCATTAATAACATTAATCGCATAGATTAACGCGTTCATTTTGACAGCCCTAATATTAACATTTAGCTTTGATGGAGATGTCTTCACAGCAACATAAATCGATTTCTGATTGGGAATTGTGACTTCACACGAGCATAACAGCTCATAAAACTAATAAAGAGCAATAAAGATTTGTCCCATTGCTTGTCCTGTCGCGTGTCTTTAGTCTGTGTCAATCGTATGTTCTGTGCCAGTTCGTCTCAGTCTGCTCACAGCAATTCCTAGCGTGTGGTCGCCATGTCTTGACAAGTGTTCCATGTACCTTTGCGTTTTGCCTGCCGATTTGGCCCCCGTTGCCGGTTGACTGAGGACAGTGTACCGAAAACCCGCTTCAGTAAACCTTATATTCTTCACCCGACCTCGTCTTGCCTGCGTCTGCTTCTGAGTCCTGCCCCTGTGGTTGCCAAACAAAAAGACATTTACTGCTTTTGATGGTTTTCACTGACTGCAAAGTGGTTGAGAGGATTTTTGGAACGACTTGTAGACAAGCTGCTACAATCACACATAAAAAAGGAGTTACATTTATCAACATATTTTCAATAAGAGATTTTAAATGGTACTTTTCTGGTTAATTAAAGGTTTGACAAAATATTGGAGGAAACTGGGAGCGGGCAGAGACAGCAGGACTACAGGGAATGCAATAGCTGTGTACTGTAGGCATCATTAATGATCCAGAAAAACAAGGAGGATGAACGGCGCTCTATTTATAGTGGGTGTTAATGAGTGAACAAAGAGCAGATCCTCAGGAGGGAGAAACCTCCAGGTGACTGGGGGGAAACACTGATCAGGTGTGACTGGTGCGTGTAGAGAATAGACTGATATAAAGAAATGCGTATGGACAGGGCTGCATTTACAGTATGACATCTAGGTTGTTTATTTGTCAACCTCCTAGTACTGCTACTTATATTAATATCCTGTACTACATACTTTTTGTCTGCCGTAAGTTGTGACTTTGCAGGGATCACCCCCTAATCGCATAACCCTCTTTCATCGCATCAGTACCGAATTCCGTTCATGTCGCGGTGTCCCACGGAGCCAAACGCTACACACAGGTAGCGTTTCTTAATGGGCTTTTATCTTCCTGGTGCTGCACCGTGTGCTCTGTCCGTCATGAAGACCGCCTGGAACCTTTATGTTCTCATTGCGCTCCTGCAACCTCTGGCCCTGCCAATGGTTTCATAGAGAGAAGATGCCGTCACCAGATGGCAGACAACTGAGGCCCATTACCTCCCTACACCGGCTCCCTGCCCTGAACACTCCCCCTCCCGTCTCCCCTACAGCTGGGCTCAACCACAGCCGCCTGTAACAGCCCGTCAGCCCCCAAAACGCCTGCCGCCAACCAAGTGGTACTCCTGTTTAATTATGTGATGTTGGAAAATGCCCACTCAGTCTTTTGTATAACAAGATCAAGTGGACGAAAGGTATTCAGAGCCAGATCCTCTGTCGTAAGTCTAGAACGTCACACCTAGTTGCTTTGCGCTGCTCACTTTCCTAAAGAGATGATGAACTGGATGCAATTTTATTAAGTCGTAACTGAGACATCATGAGTTCATTGCTGGGAGATGTTTTGCACTAGCGAGCACGGCTTTAACTTCATTGCTATTAATGGATTTCTCTCTCTCTCTCTCTCTCTCTCTCTCTCTCACACACACACACATACACACAGTTTTGAAAGACATCACAACAATACAAACTCCCTTGTGATAATGCTGCTTTACGTTAGACTCCCCTATACTTTGAATCATCCTACACACTTGTGAGGTCTATTCACTGGTCATTCACTCTCCTCAGGTCTGCTGTAGTTTTAGTGTCTTTCAGGTCTAAGGCAGATGGCCGATGTAAAAGTGCCACGGAACTGGAATTCTCCCTTCTGACCAGCAAGGGGTCATTGACCATATTTTTAATACAGAAACGACACGGGCCAATAGGTGAGTACTTCATCAATTAAAGTGGCAGTGTGGTCTGGTGACATCTAGTGGTGTGGTTGTAGGTTGCAACTGACTGAAAAGCCCCCACTCCTCCCTTTCCAGGACGGAAACGTTTCTTTCAGTTCTTCACTGATGAAAACATTATGAACATTATGACCCTTTACAGCTAATACGTCCTAATGAATGAACACACTGAAACTTTGGTAATGGGATGGAACTATGGAACATACATTTTTTATGCCTCTTTGTAATATTACTGACTATCCAAATGTTTTCACAAACACAATATTGAACAACAATTACAGACATTTAGCTTTTTGCATATTTCTTGGCCGGAAAAAAGTAATTTTCACTTTATGCTCTTGTGCGGCAGAAGCAAAGAGAGAGAGAGAGAGAGAGAGAGAGAGAGAGAGAGAGAGAGAGAGAGAGAGAGAGAGAGAGAGAGAGAGAGAGCAGTAGAGAGAGAGGCATTCTGCATGAGTTGAAGACTGTTCCGCCCTTTCTCCCTCCCTCCCTCTCTCCCTCCCTCCCTCCCCGTGCCCCAGTCGACCGGCCGCCGTCGCTCAGTCTGCACCGTGCTGCTCTGTGGAAGCTGCTTAAACGGACCATCATCACTTCTTTTCTTCTCGCGGAGGTTGAATGAGATGAGCGTTCTCCCTCCCTCCCCCTCTGGGTGGATACGCGTCGTTGTTGAAGGTGACTTTGCTGGCGGGGAGCTGAACGTGAGTACGCTCTTATCTTCACTCATCTGTCTCCACCCGCACAGTGGAAGACGTGAGAGGGAAACACCTGCTACAGAAAGTCTGCTCCGTGTAGTTGTGGGAATGTGGGCGTGAACGCGCATTTTTAGACTCATTAGTCACCTAGAACGCGCACTTAAGAGGTGCGTTCAATACCTATTTTCACAACCAATAACAACAACAACACAGAAACATATCGATGTTAATAGTTGTTTATATAACGTGGCATTTAATTATAATCTTGCACAATTTGTGGTAGTTATATCCTAGAAGGCCCGAATACCTTAACAGATCATAAAAAGCGAATCTTCTGTTTTTACTATTCGATATATGTCACTGCATAAATATAAAAGAGATGAAAAAACTAGTACCTTGATCTGTCTGTCTATTTATCTACCTATAGTAGTCCCTAAATCAATCAATCAGTCTCACACCCATCCATCTATCTACATTTCCTGTAGTTTTCCGGTTTCCGTTAGTGTTCCTGGCGGTGGGTTCATCAGGTCAGTTTGTCCGTATAATCACATCCCATCACATTCAGTCACGCATCGCTTGTGTTTATGTTTTTTTACGGCCCGGATAAAATACACCACAGTAAGTGAGCAGAACAGCTCTTACTGCACATAATCAAGTGCCGTCAGAGGGGTCTTAAGCCGTCACAGAAACAGTCCAAACATGCAGTGTGAGAACATCTGGGCTCTTTCCCCTGCATCTGAACTCCGTTTGTCTCCTACGCGTCGGACGTCGCTGACGTTCTTCACACAGCGTGACGTTTCTCACTCTTTGGTTGTTCCTCCCATTAACTTGTTGGATTGCATTAGAAGGGGGCCGTGGTGAGCTGGAACCGCTGACTGCACAGGACAGCGAACACTTATGTGTCTGCCACAGCTCCAGGGGTTTTGACCGCGTACAATTAATAAATCATGAGACTGTACTGAACTGAATCAGCCGCCCGTGTCACTGAGCCCCTCTGCTTCATCGCGCTGGGTGCACGGGACCTGACAGGAAAAGGTTCTGGAGCCGTGCAGAGCGCTGTGATAGTCAATGTGGGGATTTATCGTCTTTCAATGGAAGCACATCGTGATGAACTCATACATCGCCAATGTATAACAATAAATATGTTTTTGTAATTAAATGAGAAAACACTTTTCATTCGTCAAGTATTTAAAAAAAAGCAATAAAAACAACAAGAAAATGCACTTGAATTGAATTGCCAGAAAATATACTGTTCTCCATATCTGAAATGACCCATATTATGAGGGAAGTATTTCACACACAGCAGTTTTTAGTTTGTAAATGGTGGATGGAGTGTACGGGAACATGGCCCACTCAAACACCGTGGCAGGTGTATAGCCCAGTTATTAACACCCACGGCATTCACACACCCGGCTCGAGGACACAGGGGTCAAGTGTGCTGCCCAAGGACACATCGACGCGGTCCTCACTGAGCCAGAGGGGCTGCTGCAGGGCTGCATGCGGTTCCCCTCGGAGCGGTCCAGTGAAGTTCTAGCAGGACAGTGTTGTGTTCAGGTGTTTCCCTCTCGTAAGAAACCCATGATGAAGAAACCCGAGGCAGCAAGGAGGCTCCGCTGAGTGCGAAGGGACGTCTTGGTGCCGCGGTGGCACATTCGCTGCTCTCTTTGAGCTGAGCTGTGGATCACGCGAGAGGACTGTTAGAGAAGTGACACGTCTCTGAAGGATTGCTTCCTGGCCAGCGTCTTCCGTTTCTTAATGTGGCTTTGAAAAAAAATTGTGTGGTGGGTGTGGGGGACTAAATGCTTTACGGATAATGAAACCAAAACAACTCCAGGGGGAGGACAGATAGAGTTTGACCGAATCAACTTGTGGATTCACGGATAGTGAGAAGTTAATCTCTGCTGTAACAGCACGACCCACAGCCACTTGCTTTTTCTTCATCTGATTCTTGTGGGATACTTGCTTTGATGCACCTTCTACACAAATGAGTCCATATGTGATTTTGGTGTTAAGCAGTCGAGCATTTGAGGCAGGGAGAGAGAGGGAGAGTGAGAGGGAAAGAGAGAGAGAGGCTGTGATCTCCTGGCAAGCATCGCGCTTCACCGAGCAGATCTTGTGTTTTTTAACAGCCGGCACAATGAATCCTCCCTTCTTTGTGCAGAATTAAAATCAGTAGAATCTCCTTTTCAATACTTCTGTCTGCACTCTTTTCCTCCTTTTTTCCTCCCTGGTCTCTGTTTTACTTGTTCTTCTTTTGTTCCCCAATCTCTGTGTTCTCCCTCTTTGCTCCCATTCTGAGGAAAACAGCATTGACTGCCGTTATGCACCTCTCTGCTCCTCTCTTTCCTTTTAACAACATTACAACCCGCCTCCTTCCTGCTGCTTTACAATCCTCTCCTCCTCCACTATCAACCTGTCCCTCAACCATCTCCTATATAAAAATGGAAAACCTACCAACTAAAGCTTCTGTGCGGCAAGAAGGATGTGACAGCATGGCCGACGTTACAGGTCCACCCAACAAACCGGTTGTTCCAACAGGACACGCTGTCACAACGATGCAGAGGAGGTTTACAAACTGCCTGTGGACAGAAAATCTATTTTATTGTCTTTTTGCTACTTTCCCTTCACTTTGTTCCTCGTTGTCTCTCTCATCTACAGAGCACTGCTGACTTAACCACCAGTGCCATGAGCAGTTCCTTTCCACACTTGACAGTTTGAGCACACACCTCTCCAAATGATTTTCAAGCACTGGTCAGATTTTCCCAGTGTCAATAGTATTCTTGCCAAAGGCCCA